AGAGAGAGTACTGACACAGCAGCAACAACCAATCCTGAAAATAGAAAAAGAGAGAGTACTGACACAGCAGCAACAACCAATCCTGAAAATAGAAAAAGAGAGAGTACTGACACAGCAGCAACAACCAATCCTGAAAAGCCCCAGGGCAGGTTTGATGGGCCCAGGTTGTGGGGGAAGTTTGGCCTTAACTATCAGGGGTCCTTGCCAGATGGTCACCGGGGTCTCTTGGTGTGGATCACAGGGCACTCTCTCAACACTGGTGTCATCATTCAATTATAAGTGGAGGAAGGAAGGAAGACTCCTCAGAGAAATTAGCTGAATTCAGGCCATTGGTGGAGCAGAGGTGCATGACTATCAGTCTTCGAACCATGTTCCCTCAGGTATAGTACTGAACAGAGCCTTTGGGAGGACATAGCAGATAAAGCTGGGCACTTTGTGGGCGTTGTGAGTCTGACGCCCTCGGCTCTGCTCCCTTCTGAACAGATCAGGACATGACAGGAGGGCCATATGAAGGATTCGTCTTGCTTACTTCTTGTTGCTTCTTCTCCGCAATCTTTGGACAAGGAGAGCGATGGTGCTGACTGTGAAGTCAGAGATGGAGGACTGTTTTCCTTTTCTTGCTTTTCATTATCAAGCCTAGTTTTAACCAGGAGCAAATCTCCTTACAGGCCTGGTCTAGACTACACTGCTTTTACCTCAGACAGACTTTCTTAGGTACAGAACTTCAGCTTCATCATCATGTCTGTCATTCTCCAGAACTTCAGCTTCATCATCATGTCGGTCATTCTCCAGAACTTCAGCTTCATCCTCATGTCGGTCATTCTCCAGAACTTCAGCTTCATCATCATCATGTCGGTCATTCTCCAGAACTTCAGCTTCATCATCATGTCGGTCATTCTCCAGAACTTCAGCTTCATCATCATGTCGGTCATTCTCCAGAACTTCAGCTTCATCATCATCATGTCGGTCATTCTCCAGAACTTCAGCTTCATCATCATAATGTCGGTCATTCTCCAGAACTTCAGCTTCATCATCATGTCGGTCATTCTCCAGAACTTCAGCTTCATCATCATGTCGGTCATTCTCCAGAACTTCAGCTTCATCATCATCATGTCGGTCATTCTCCAGAACTTCAGCTTCATCATCATGTCGGTCATTCTCCAGAACTTCAGCTTCATCATCATGTCGGTCATTCTCCAGAACTTCAGCTTCATCATCATCATGTCAGTCATTCTCCAGAACTTCAGCTTCATCATCATGTCGGTCATTCTCCAGAACTTCAGCTTCATCATCATCATGTCGGTCATTCTCCAGAACTTCAGCTTCATCATCATGTCGGTCATTCTCCAGAACTTCAGCTTCATCATCATGTCGGTCATTCTCCAGAACTTCAGCTTCATCGTCATCATGTCGGTCATTCTCCAGAACTTCAGCTTCATCATCATCATGTCGGTCATTCTCCAGAACTTCAGCTTCATCATCATGTCGGTCATTCTCCAGAACTTCAGCTTCATCGTCATCATGTCGGTCATTCTCCAGAACTTCAGCTTCATCGTCATCATGTCGGTCATTCTCCAGAACTTCAGCTTCATCGTCATCATGTCGGTCATTCTCCAGAACTTCAGCTTCATCGTCATCATGTCGGTCATTCTCCAGAACTTCAGCTTCATCGTCATCATGTCGGTCATTCTCCAGAACTTCAGCTTCATCGTCATCATGTCGGTCATTCTCCAGAACTTCAGCTTCATCGTCATGTCGGTCATTCTCCAGAACTTCAGCTTCATCATCATGTCGGTCATTCTCCAGAACTTCAGCTTCATCATCATGTCGGTCATTCTCCAGAACTTCAGCTTCATCATCATGTCGGTCATTCTCCAGAACTCTTTTCTCATCCACTACTTGGAGATACTGTAACTCTCCAACTGAGACGCTCTTGTTTGCAAGAGACTGGCTCAATCAGTGTGTGCCACAAGTGGGGTAACTATGGTCCAAGGAGAGTGCAGTGTCTGTTCCAAGTAAGGAATGTGTCTGTCAGTGTGAGTTAAATCACCTGGACAGGAGTTCTCCCTACAGGCACACTGAAAGTACTTTCCAAGATGAAAAAAGGCCACCCTGAGGACGCAGATGACAACAGTGAACAAGGTTGACCCAGGACGGAGAGCTGATGCTGAGGGAAAACCATAAAGATGGATAGAAGGCTCTTGTGCCACATAGACGCTCCTCATGCTGTCACAGAAGAGTCCATTGTATAGATTGGAGATTGGCTCTCTACTATCTCTATGGGGGAAAAACTCACAACTGATCTCCAGCAGCAGGTGTACAAGAAAGGTGGGCTGCAAAGCGCCCGGTGTTAGTGGCTGCGGGGCTAACGCATGGGTGCCATGAAGGCAGGTGTGTCAACGTCCGGGGGCCACCAGCAGGGCCATGGGTTTGTCACAACAGCGGGCAGAGCTGGCAGTCACAGGATGACGATATGAGGATAGTGCCAGCTGCTGTATGGTGAGTCCAGACTTGATCATACACGCACACGTTGGCCACTTTCCTCAGCTAAATTGCACACGGCCAGCACTCGCTCCACACTCCAACACAGAGAACTATGTGCAGTATTGAACCACTCCCCTCCACACTCACCATCTCAGTGCAATTCTGCCATTTTGAATTTCACATGAACTGGCAAGCTTCAATTCCATTCTCAGAAACACTCAACCAACCAAAATGCAGAATAAAATACTTTATTATAAATATCCAGGTACAGTATCTTACATACAATAAGTGACCGCACCCAACGGTCCACCACAATATGTTATCTTTAAAAACAAATATTTTAATCAAGAAAGATTCAAAATAATGAACAAACATGTATTTTAATAAACAGAAGTATAGCATTGAATTGTTGTTTGTTGTTTTTTCGACACTAAGAAACCAATCATTACTGTTACTGTAAATCATACAAATAGCATATAGATAATTGTATTGTACACTTAATCATATACATTTTTACAATGTAGTTATTATTACAACTTGTATCATTACTAACTTGTTGTTAGTTGAGATGTGTTATCGCTACTCTATGCAGAGGGAAAGAAGGTGCATACTGTAGACAGCAATGACTCCCTTCTATGTGACGTAGCTACACGCAAACATGGAACATAACTCTCCCGATCCTACAGCACCTACAGTTACTACGACTATTAATAGTTGTAGTCTTCTTTGCGCTGAGATAGTTAACGCAACATAAAATGTTTTTTTTCATAATGTCAACATCTGGCTAATGAAAACACATGTCCCGTGTAGCTCAGTTGGTAGAGCATGGCGTTTGCAACGCCAGGGTTGTGGGTTCGATTCCCACGGGGGGCCAGTATGAAAATGTATGCACTAACTGTAAGTCGCTCTGGGTAAGAGCGTCTGCTAAATGACTAAAATGTTAATGTAATAATGGGCATTCTGGCAGGTTCAGTTGTCATAAGTGGAATCTTGGTTAAAAACCAGCTATGACAAAAGTAAAAAATAATTTAAGTAGACATGAACGGTCAATTCTAGCTTGGTGTACAGTAGCTACACACACAGCCCCATACGTGTGTTTTAGCTACCGTGCTTTAATAGGTCATTATCCCACATATTTGCATGTGATACAGTGAATAATTGGGATAATAAGCTGTTTCAAAATGTTTTAAAATATCCAATTGTAATTAGAGAGGGGAATTAATTCAATAGTTGAAGACAATACAAAATAAAATGTGCACACCTGTAGAACATTTATCCAGTCCTTATGCACTGAGAAAAATAAACACACCACTTCGGTATCTAAAGTGCTTTAGTATCTACGTTTGTGCATGTGGAACAACGCATTTTCACAAGAACTGTTATATTAATGTTTTCCAAAATTATCGAGGACGTAAGCGAGACGTTTTTGTGTGAATTCTTGAAATGTAACTATAATATCAGACTCCAACCTATACTGAACAAAAATATAAACGCAACATGCAACAATTTCAAAGATTTTACTGAGTTACATTTCGTATAATTGTCAGTCAGTCAATTGAAATCAATTCATTAGGTCCTAATCTATGGATTTCACATGACTGGGCAGGGGCGCAGCCATGGGTGGGCCTGGGAGGGCATAGGCCCACCCACTTGGGAGCCAGGCCCACCCACTGGGGAGAAAGGCCCAGCCAATCAGAATGAGTTTTTCCCCACAAAAGGGCTTTATTACAGACAGAAATACTCCTCAGTTTCATCAGTGTGGCTGGTCTCAGACGATCCTGCAGTTGAAGAAGCCGGATGCGGAGGTCCTGGGCTGGCATGGTTACACGTGGTCTGCAGTTGTCAGGCCGGTTGAACGTACTGCCAAATTTCTAAACCGACGTTGGAGGCAGCTTATGGTAGAGAAATGAACATTCAATTCTCTGGCAACAGCTCTGGTGGACATTCCTGCAGTCAGCTTGCCAATTGCACAATCCCTCAAAACTTAAGACATCTGTGGCATTGTGTTGTGTAACAAAACTGCACATTTTAGAGTGGCCTTTTATTGTTCCGAGCACAAGGTGCACCTGTGTAATGATCATGCTGTTTATTCTTGATATGCCACACCTGTCAGGTGGATGGATTCTCTTGGCAAAGGAAAAATGCTCACTAACAGGGATGTAAACAAATTATCCCCAAAATCTGAGAGAAATAAGCTTTTTGTGCGTATGGAAAATTTCTGGGATCCTTTATTTCAGCTCATGAAACATGGGACCAACACTTTCGATGTTGCGTTTATAAGTTTAATGAACAAAAACAATCCCTAGACACACTATGAAATTGGGCAAAATATTAAATAATACAACATTCTTATGTGAAAATTGTGTTATTTCAAATAGTCCTTGATTGAAAATACATGTGCTTTGTAATATATATGACCTACAATGATGCTTCAAATCCTGTTGTTTGAAAGAAAAACAAATTGTAATAAGGGCTTTTAGATAATTCTAGAAAATTAGCATTTGTGTCATTCTCAAAACTTTTGACCACGACTGTAGATAATAACATGCATTTGAGCAGAAGCCAACAGCTATACAATATAATGTAAGAAAGACACATTCCTCATGATGAATTCTCCTCTTCCAAACTCACTGTATAAATCTGTATATCTACGGCGTCCATACAGTTTTAATAAGAGGACAGTGTTCTAGACTTTGGTCTAAGACAGTCAGATACATTAAACATTTTATATACGGTAGTGTTCATGTCTTTAGTTCCTATATCTAAAGATCACAGATAAACAAACTCTGAAAGGGGTGTACATACAAATGGCGTTGTGAAACCTAAAGTAAAACAAGCAACAATTGATCTACAGTAGCAAGCTACCCACTAAGGTTTGCCACGTAAGAGCTATTTAAGACAATCGTGCAGGGCTCGGCCCCACCAAGTGGTGTGGAGGTCTACCAACATGTTGGCGGTTGTGTTAATTAAGGGCTTAGCCTGAAGACCCTCCCTCCTCCTTGCTGCAGTCCATCATAGAGACACTCACTGTGAATGGCTGGAATGGTGCCAGCACCACGAGAGTCAGTTTTAAACTCCTCCCATCATTCTGTCAACTTGCTCTTCGTCTTCTGGATGATCCCCGCCTGCCACCAACACACATATTTAAATACATTCCATTTGGATAGCTACATTTTGCTTACAGGCTCCACCCCTGACTACAACCTACAAGCTCCTAGTCTTTACCGGTATTACAAATCACATACAGTTGACATTTTCCAAGCTGTTTAAAGGCACAGTCAACTTAGTGTATGTAAACTTCTGACCCACTGGAATTGTGATATAGTGAATTATAAGTGAAATAATCTGTCTTTAAACAATTGTTGGAAAAATTACTTGTGTCATGCACAAAGTAGATGTCCTAACCGACTTGCCAAAACTATAGTTTGTTAACAAGAAATGTGTGGATTGGTTGAAAAACAAGTTTTAATGACTCCAACCTAAGTGTATGTAAACAACTGTACCTCAATACTATTGAATAGTTTTAAAATGTTCTAAACTTTATTAGGCATAGCAAGTAAGAGTTCCTCAGTTCCTCTCTTTTGTCTGAAGTTTGCTTCAGAAAAATAAACTGATTCTATTCTATTGTCTCCTGGAGATCCCTCCTGGTTTTCTTATGTCTTGGCTGTAAATGGGTTTTAGTGGTTCTCACCTACTGCCTGGGCCTGGGCCTCTCCGGGGTCGTCATCAGGGGAAGTGAGGTCATCAGGGGGCCAGCGGAGCTCGCCACTCTCCACCTCCCCACTCTCGGTGGGCTCCACCACGATGGACGGAAGCCGCTTGGACAGCTTAGGGAACCTCTCGTGGGAGTCCGGAAAGATCTGAAAAAACAATCACGTCGGGGTCACCAAAGAAAGAGTGGAAAATTTGGTAACCAGGGTAAGGGTTGGGGTGAATTGAACTGAATTGAACAGTGAATTGCTGCTAACGCCAATCCTGCTGGTAACATCTGAGACATTGATGGAGTAGGATCAGGTTAACCCTAGATTATATGGTCAGTTTTGTGTTTTCAAAACACATTCCAGAACAACACAGCATGACTAATCATGACCACAAGATGATGCTCAGTGAGAGAGGTAAGGAGTTTTGGCTAGTGACTTGAATGGGAAACAGACATTTGAAGACAGAAATATATGTTTTCCACTTCCTCCCTCCCTGAATGACATTCCCGCTAGTCAAAAACTGCATTTAAGGCTTTGAAATGGATGCAGGGTTAACGAGGCGCTTTGCATTCGCTGCATGCCGCAAGTGTGACTTCTATCGCAAAATCTCGGACCTCTGAAGAGCTCGAGCCGACGAGAGGATGTGTGACTCACTTTGTGCAGGGCGCGATTACTTCTATTGCACCACTATGATTACTTCCATAGCACCACTGTGATAACTTCCATAGCACCACTGTGATTACTTCCATAACACCACTGCACTGAAGGAGGATTACTCCCATAACACCACTGTGTGGGGTGCGATTACTTCCATAACACCACTGTGTGGGGTGCGATTACTTCCATAACACCACTGTGTGGGGTGCGATTACTTCCATAACACCACTGTGTGGGGTGCGATTACTTCCATAACACCACTGTGTGGGATGTGATTACTTCCATAACACCACTGTGAGGGGTGCGATTACTTCCATAACACCACTGTGTGGGATGTGATTACTTCCATAACAACACTGTGTGGGGTGCGATTACTTCCATAACACCACTGTGTGGGGTGCGATTACTTCCATAACACCACTGTGTGGGATGCGATTACTTCCATAACACCACTGTGTGGGGTGCGATTACTTCCATAACACCACTGTGTGGGATGTGATTACTTCCATAACACCACTGTGTGGGGTGCGATTACTTCCATAACACCACTGTGTGGGATGTGATTACTTCCATAACACCACTGTGTGGGATGCGATTACTTCCATAACACCACTGTGTGGGGTGCGATTACTTCCATAACACCACTGTGTGGGGTGCGATTACTTCCATAACAACACTGTGTGGGGTGCGATTACTTCCATAACACCACTGTGTGGGGTGCGATTACTTCCATAACACCACTGTGTGGGGTGCGATTACTTCCATAACACCACTGTGTGGGGTGCGATTACTTCCATAACACCACTGTGTGGGACGCGATTACTTCCATAACACCACTGTGTGGGACGCGATTACTTCCATAACACCACTGTGTGGGGTGCGATTACTTCCATAACACCACTGTGTGGGATGTGATTACTTCCATAACACCACTGTGTGGGGTGCGATTACTTCCATAACACCACTGTGTGGGGTGCGATTACTTCCATAACACCACTGTGTGGGGTGCGATTACTTCCATAACACCACTGTGTGGGGTGCGATTACTTCCATAACACCACTGTGTGGGGTGCGATTACTTCCATAACACCACTGTGTGGGGTGCGATTACTTCCATAACACCACTGTGTGGGGTGCGATTACTTCCATAACACCACTGTGTGGGGTGCGATTACTTCCATAACACCACTGTGTGGGGTGCGATTACTTCCATAACACCACTGTGTGGGGTGCGATTACTTCCATAACACCACTGTGTGGGATGTGATTACTTCCATAACACCACTGTGTGGGGTGCGATTACTTCCATAACACCACTGTGTGGGGTGCGATTACTTCCATAACACCACTGTGTGGGGTGCGATTACTTCCATAACACCACTGTGTGGGGTGCGATTACTTCCATAACACCACTGTGTGGGGTGCGATTACTTCCATAACACCACTGTGTGGGGTGCGATTACTTCCATAACACCACTGTGTGGGGTGCGATTACTTCCATAACACCACTGTGTGGGACGCGATTACTTCCATAACACCACTGTGTGGGATGCGATTACTTCCATAACACCACTGTGTGGGACACAATCACTTCCAAAACACCACTGTGTTGGGTGCGATTACTTCCATAACACCACTGCACTGAAGGAGGAAGAGGGGGGTCAGCGAGGGACACCTGCATCTGTATGGGGGCAAGCCGGTTGGCTAAGAAAGTAACAGCTTGCCACTGGATTGGCTGCCATCTCTTACTTGAGAGCTTTCACTGGCTTTAGACAAGGCCTCTATTGAGCCAGGTCCATAAAGGCCCAACATGCATCATGTTCTTCTACAAGTAATGATCCACATTTACTTGACTTTGGAGTCACAAGAGAGCAGCGAGTTCCTTGGAGGGCCCTGAAGTCACTGGGTCTTTGAAGTCAATGGGTCTTTGAAGTCACTGGGTCTTTGAAGTCAATGGGTCTTTGAAGTCACTGGGTCGTTAGTCACTGGGTCATTGAAGTCACCGGGTCTCTGAACTCAATGGGTATTTGAAGTAACTGAGTATTTGATGTCACTGGGTCTTTGAAGTTAATGGGTATTTGAAGTCAATGGGTCTTTTAAGTTATTGGGTCTTTGAAGCCAATGGGTATTTGAAGCCACTTGGTATTTGAAGCCACTTGGTCTTTGAAGTCATTGGGTCTTTGAAGTCACTGGGTCTTTGAAGTCATTGGGTCTTTGAAGTCATTGGGTCTTTGAAGTCACTGGGTCTTTGAAGTCACTGGGTCTTTGAAGTCACTGGGTCTTTGAAGTGACTGGGTCTTCACTGTAAAAAGTTAGCAGAAATCAGATGGGCTTTTTTAAGGAGGATGAGAGGGGATGAAAAGGAGGGGAAGGCTGTGATTGAGGTGCAGTCAGAAATAGCCCTGCTGTCAGTTTAGAGCAATGGAGGGACATTTGCACCTGTCATGGGTCTACAGGGAAGGAGAGAGGAGAAGAGAGAGATCTGAGAGAGTGCCATGGAGAGAGTGTGTGTGTCTAGTTTCTCTGTGTGTGTGTGCACGTGTTGCTCATCATTTGTTTGTGCATGTAAACGATTCTTATGTTGTGCTGTAGTGTTGTTTGTGAGTGTGTGTGTTTGGTGAAAGTGAGTGTGTGTTACTTTGTTTGTTTTAGTTTTTTGTGTCCGTTTGAATTAGTCCCACCTGAAAGGATATACCCTCGTCTGCTGGGGCGCCTCCAACGGTGAAGTCTCCCACCTTCGAATCACAGGTGTTCATCACTTCTGTCATTCCGTCAGTAAGCCTCGCCTACAGCCAAGCCAAAACAAAAAGAAAGGACATGTTCTCAGTATGGCCCCGTTCCAAACCAAACATCCCTACAACTAGTCCCGAGGGCTGAATTGGTGTGGACAATATTGGCAGGGATTTTTCTAAGCGTTTTTTCGGATAGCATAAATTCATTTTAGGGATAGAAAAACACTTTAAGTGATTTAAACCACTAAAACCAGATATAAAGCATGTAGATAAGATAATGGACCTATATATAATCTTTGAGAACTAACAATCACCTAAATAAAAGCTAGACAGTCAGGGAGAATAGAAAATTCCAAAAACAATGAATTTAGCAGTATTCATTTTGTTATTATGTTTGAGCAAAAGAACACGGCCTTATCCATGGCTAAATGCATAAAATTGCAGTAAACTAGCTTTAAAACTGCAACATTTTCTCTCAGCTCCATGGTAGAATATGAGAATCGCAGGAAATTAGCTTTAAATCTGTAACATTTTCTTTCAGCTTCATGGCAAAATGTGTAGAATTACAAGAAATTAAAATTAATAATAATCTCAGCTCCATGGAGAAATGTGTAGAATTACAGGAAATTGGCTTAACATTTCTAAAAATACAGTGCCAAGATTGGGGCTTCTACATTTCTTTCTAAATGTAGCCGCGCAGACAGCCGACCACGCTCATTGCCCCCCCTTCCACGCCCCCTGCCATGCCCCGCCACGCTCCTTTTTGACCCCCCCCCCCCCCCCCCCCTAAAAAACGGTATCTAGTACCATACTCCTGATTCCTAACCAATTCCGTTTTTATCTGTGAGTCTCATCATAGGAGTTGGCAAGACAGCACAAACAGATCTGGGACCAGGGTAATAAGGACCTGGGGCAAGTAATGAATGATTGGTTTGGAATTGGGACTTTTTGTGACAGTCATTAAGGCTGCGTTTACATAGGCAGCCCAGTTCTTTTGCCCAACTGTTGGAAAAATATCTGATCTGATTGGTCAAAAGACCAATTAGTGGCAAAAGATCAGAATTGGGCTGCCTGTGTAAACGCAGCCTACGTACACTTGTGTATTTTACATTTAAGTCATTTAGCAGACGCTCTTATCCAGAGCAACTTACAGTTAGTGAGTGCATACATTTTTTTTTATACTGGCCCCCCGTGGGAATCGAACCCACAACCCTGGTGTTGCAAACGCCATGCTCTACCAACTGAGCTACATCCCTGCCGGCCATTCCCTCCCCTACCCTGGACGACACTTGGCCAATTGTGCGCCGCCCCGTGGCCTCCCGGTCACGACAGAGCCTGGATTCGAACCAGGATCTCTAGTGGCACAGCTAGCACTGTGATGCAGTGCCTTAGACCACTGCGCCACTCGGGAGATTTTCATTTCTCATTTGCCACTGAATGCTACAGGGCCTGATTCTGCTCTTGCACCTACAAAATGCTCTCAGCAAATTGTCAATGTGTTGCAAGAATGTTTGCAAAAGGTTATGGGAAAGTTTAGTTCAGAGAATGTCAGCTGCGTGATGTCACAGTATCATTAGATTGTGCTCTTGGTAGGCCGTCATTGTAAATAAGAATTTATTCTTAACTGACTTGCCTAGTTAAATAAAGGTTAAATTAATAAAAAGTCTAACAAGAACGTTACCTAACATTTACCTAACGTTTACCTAACATTTTGGAAACATCCTCCATTACAGCAGGGGGAGCCATGGGGGGCAGCCAGTTCAAAGCCCAACCACACCCTTTATTTTTGCTGTGTCCTAAAATGAACCTTGTGTGTCTAAATGATGTATACTTTACTTAATCTTTTTCGACTGAATCTCTGCTACAGTCTTCACTGCTCTACTCGTGGCAAGAAAAATGTTCATTCAGATTAGCATTCTTTTTATAGAGAAGATGAGAGTGTGAGTTGGAGCATAATGTCTGACATGCTCCGGGGTGAAGTTTCCCCTAAGTACAGGTCTAGGATCAGCTTCCCCTCCCCCAAACCTTACCTTAACCATTAGTAGGGGAAATGTAAAACTGACCCAAGATCAGTATCTAGGGGGATCTTCACACCACTCAGTCTGACACCAGGAACAAGGATGCAACTGCTGCTGGGAATGTAAATAATTCAGGTTTAACACGTTCCAACATTAAAATGAAGTTGTTCTGCTTCAGTGACAATAAGGGAACTGTTGTAGCCTTATTCCCTTGTAACGTCTAGTTTCAGTCAGGAACTGAAAATAACTAGCACGGTGTGTGTGTTTCTTTAAAAAACGATGCATTTTATCCAAGATACAGTTATCTTATTAAAACTAAGCGGCACTGAGAACAGCTGGGAAAAAAACATTGTTTTTGTGTAGACCTTTCACAAAACGGTACATCTAACAAGTCTCTCCATATTCACTTCCACCTTTTTACTTTTGGTTGGAAAATGATTTGTTTTTGTTTTTTTGTGAACCATTGTTTTCATTGAGTCAATCAATTGGTACAATCAATGAGAAACATTACAATTTACCCTTTTTTAGATCAACACTATATTCCACCTCATCCCAGGAAAATTATATTTTTATATTTATTAATTAATTTTTATATAACTAAAATACATGTGAACCATCAACGATATGAACATGGTGACAAGTACCGTCTTGGTCTTTTGGTCAATTAGTAATAATTTAGACATGGGAAAGTGAGTGATTGGCGAATCAATGACAGTAACCAGGGAGAAGAGCAAACCGGAAGACCGGCAGGAATAAAACATTACACAAGCCCATCACTAATTCAAATAATCAACTAAGTGTTGTCTTCCATTTTACAACATGATCAGTTGAATCAGGTGTGCTAAAGCTGGGCTGGTGTGCACACACTGTTCCCCACACTTGACCTGAATGATGGTTTTAAAAAAATGATCCCATTAATAATCTGACGCTTTCATCCAAAGCTGCTTTCAGTAAACACTTCAATGCGGAATGTGTACTGTAGCTCATGCAGGAATGGAACGCACTATTTATTAACACTGTTACCAGTGCCATGTTCAAACTCATTGCACCATGGGATCCTCACAGCCATCAAACTACACAGAGCCACTATTTTTCCATGCTTCCTGATGCAGTGGGTTATCATATCTGATTGTTTGGACGTCTGGTATGGCCCTGCCAGTGTTAATGATTTCTGTCCTGGCACCAACAAGACTAATGTAACCATGAGAAAATAATCAGCTCCTTGGACAACAGCCCCTCTCACCATGAGCCATCACCAGTCCTGATGCTAGTGTGTGTGTGTGTGTGTGTGTGTGTGTGTGTGTGGTGTGTAAACGTGCGTGCACATGTCTGTGTGTGTTTGGTGGGGTGACTAATCTAATGCACGGTCCCCCCCCCAGCTAGCTGTTGCCACGGCGACATGGTGGGCGGTCAATAATCAAGATGCCTTTTATGAAAAGAAGTGTCATTCTCCAAAGTGGCAGTGGGTGTTGATAGCAAAGGATGTGTCTGTTGTTTTGCCCAGTCCTAATAACAAAGAATAGCCTTAGGGAGTCAGCTGTGACCAAACTGGGTTGGATTGGAGGGTCTATAGGGGGTCTGGAAGGCATCTATGTCGGGGAACGTGCAAAAAACAGAACATATTTTATGGAAATGAGTGGCATACTCAAGAGGGTATGAATGGTGAGTGGGCAATGGCGTGTGTGTGTGTGTGTGTGTGTGTGTGTGTGCAGTACTATAACCTAAGGGAGCCAGCTGTGACATAAGTGAACAGGAATCGAGCCCACAACAGTGACAGATTCTGAGATCCACATAATCAAAGTCACCACAGGTTCATGTACAGTCGTGGTCTTCACAACGTTCGCTGCTTCAGTGTTATGAGATATTTTTGTCAGATGTTACTATGGTATACTGAAGTATAATTACAAGTATTCCATAAGTGTCAAAGGCTTTTATTGACAATTACATTAAGTTTATGCAAAGAGTCAATATTTGCAGTGTTGACCCTTCTTTTTCAAGACCTCTGCAATCCGCCCTGGCATGCTGTCAATTAACTTCTGGGACACATCCTGACTGATGACAGCCCATTCTTGCATAATCAATGCTTGGAGTTTGTCAGATTTTGTGTGTTTTTGTTTGTCCACCCGCCTCTTGAGGATCGACCACAAGTTCTCAATGGGATTAAGGTCTGGGGAGTTTGTCGATGTTTTGTTCCCCGAGCCACTTAGTTATCACTTTTGCCTTATGGCAAGGTGCTCCATCATGCTGGAAAAGGCATTGGTCGTCACCAAACTGTTCTTGGATGGTTGGGAGAAGTTGCTCTCTGAGGATGTGTTGGTACCATTCTTTATTCATGGCTGTGTTCTTAGGCAAAATTGTGAGTGAGCCCACTCCCTTGGCTGAGAGGCAACCCCACACATGAATGGTCTCAGGATGGTTTACTGTTGGCATGACACAGGACTGATGGTAGCGCTCACCTTGTCTTCTCCGGACAAGGTGTTTTCCGGATGCCCCAAACAATCAAAAAGGGGATTCATCAGAGAAAATGACTTTACCCCAATCCTCAGCAGTCCAATCCCTGTACCTTTTGCAGAATATCAGTCTATCCCTGATGTTTTTCCTGGAGAGAAGTGGCTTCTTTCCTGCCCTTCTTGACACCAGGCCATCCTCCAAAAGTCTTCGCCTCACTGTGCGTGCAGATGCACCCAAACCTGCCTGCTGCCATTCCTGAGCAAGCTCTGCACTGGTGCCCCGATCCCGCAGCTGAATCAACTTTAGGAGACGGTCCTGGCGCTTGCTGGACTTTCTTGGGCGCCCTGACGCCTTCTTCACAACAATTTAACATCTCTCCTTGAAGTTCTTGATGATCCGATAAATGGTTGATTTAGGTACAATCTTACTAGCAGCAATATCCTTGCCTGTGAAGCCCTTTTTGTGCAAAGCAATGATGATGGCACGTGTTTCCTTGCAGGTAACCATGGTTAACAGAGGAAGAACAATGATTTCAAGCACCACCCTCCTTTTAAAGCTTCCAGTCTGTTATTCTAACTCAATCAGCATGACAGAGTGATCTCCAGCCTTGTCCTCGTCAACACTCTCACCTGTGTTAACGAGATAATCACTGACATGATGGCAGCTAGTCCTTTTGAGGCAGGGCTGAAATGCAGTGGAAATGTTTTTTGGGGGATTAATTTCATTTTCATGGCAAAGATGGACTTTGCAATTAATTGCAATTCATCTGATCACTCTTCATGACATTCTGGAGTATATGCAAATTGCCATCATCAAAACTGAGGCAGCAGACTTTGTGAAAATTAGTATTTGTGTCATTCTTAAAACGTTTGACCATGACTGTACAGTACCGGTTACACAGCCCAAGCACCCAGCTAATGCTCCCCATATCCTAGGATCAACCAGGCCCAGCATTAAGATGCGTAACTCATCACACATACCATAGTCTTCATCAAGGTTACAGTAAGAAGCTGGCTTGACATTCCAATTCAGTCAACACATAGAGCTCTGCCAAGAATCAATTGGTTTTGTTTATGCATATAATGTGCATTCGGAAAGTATTCAGAGCCCTTGACTTTTTCCACATTTTGTTATGTTAACATTTACATTTTAGTCATTTAGCAGACGCTCTTATCCAGAGCAATTAGGGTTAAGTGCCTTGCTTAAGGGCACCACGACAGATTTTTCACCTAGTCCGCTCGGGGATTAGAACCAGCGACCTTTCGGTTGCTGGCACAACGCTCTTACCCACTAAGCTACCTGCCACCCCATCACGTTAAAGCCTTATTCTAAAATTGATCAAATAAAAAATTGTCCTCAACAATCTACACACAATACCCCATAAGGACAAAGCGAAAACTGGTTTTTAGACATTTTAGCAAATGTATATTTAAAAAAAATACTTAAATAGCTTATTATTATTTACATAAGTATTCAGACCCTTTGCTATGAGACTCGAAATTGAGCTCAGGTGCATCCTGTTTCCATTGATCATCCTTGAGTTGTTTCTACAACCTGTGGTGAATTCAATTGATTGGACATGATTTGGAAAGGAACACACCTGTCTATATAAGGTCCCACAGTTGACAGTGCATGTCAGAGCAAAAACCAAGCCATGAGGTCGAAGGAATTGTCCACAGAGCTCTGAGACAGGATTGTGTCGAGGCACAGATCTAGGGAAGGGTACCAAAACAATTCTGCAGCATTCAAGGTCCACAAGAACGCAGTGGCCTCCATCATTCTTAAATGAAAGAAGTTTGGAACCACCAAGACTCTTCCTAGAGCTGGCCGCCCGGCCAAACTGAGCATTCGGGGGACAAGGACCTTGGTCAGGGAGGTGACCAAGAACCCGATGGTCACTCTGGCAGAGCTTCAGAGTTCCTCTGTGGAGATGGGAGAACCTTCCAGAAGGACAACCATCTCTGCAGCACTCCACCAATCAGGCCTTCAGTAAACATGACAGTAAACATGACAGCCCGCTTGGAGTTTGCCAAAAGGAACCTAAAGGACTCAGACCATGAGAAACAAGATTATCTGGTCTGATGAAACCAAGATTGAACTCTTTGGCCTGAATGCCAAGCGTCACATCTGGAGGAAACCTGCCACCATCCCTATGGTGAAGCATGGTGTTGACAGCATCATGCTGTGGGGATGTTTTTCAGTGGCAGGGACTGGGAGACTAGTCAGGATTGAAGGAAAGATGAACGGAGCAAAGTACAGAGAGATCCTTGATGAAAACCTACTCCAGAGCGCTCAGGACCTCAGACTGGGGTGAAAGTTCACCTTCCAACAGGAAAATGACCCTAAGCACACAGCCAACACAACGCAGGAGTGGCTTCGGGACAAGTCTCTGAATGTCCTTGAGTGGCCCAGCCAGAGCCTGGACTTGAACCCGATCGAGCATCTCTGGAGAGACCTGAAAATAGCTGTGCAGCGATGCTCCCCATCCAACCTGACAGAGCTTGAGAGGATCTGCAGAGAAGAATGGGAGAAACTCCCCAAATACAGGTGTGCCAAGCTTGTAGCATCATACCCAAGAAGACACAAGGCTGTAATTGCTGCCAAAGTTGATTCAACAAAGTACTGAGTAACGGGTCTGAATACTTATGTAAATGTGATATTTCCATCTTTTATTTTTGCTTTGTCATTATGGGGTATTGTGTGTAGATTGATGAGGGAAAAAAACGATTTAATCCATTTGAGAATAAGGCTGTAAAGTAGCAAAATGTGGAAAAAGTCAAGGGGTCTGAATACTTTCCGAATGCACTGTATGTGCCCAGAATGATCATTCAGTGCCTTCATGATAGAAGACAATGACTTAAAAGGAGAAAAACGACATTGTTTCTCTCCATCTAATGTGGGCTAGCAATGGCGCTTATTATGCACACTTATTAATGTGATTAGAGTATAATCCAATTACAAATGCAGCACACTCTGCCGACATCAGAGCCCTTGTTAGCGCTTACCCTTCTCATCCCCGTGGTGTGAGTGGGACAAACAAAAAGAACTGGAGTGGAGGATCAAAGGGCCACATATGTGTTTGGTGCCATTTCTATTGAAACAAAAGACCCAGCCTAAAACTCTCTGTGGGGGTGTCATCATTAGAAAGGCTGTATGGATGCGCTTATCAAACAATTTGCAGATAGGTAACAGAACAAATTCAAATATTATTATATTATAAAGACTAATTTGCTTGTTTCCTGTTCAAGTTAGGTTGTGTGTGTGTGTGTGTGCATGTGTGCGTGTCTGTGTTTGTGTGTGGGTGTATGTGCGTATGTATTTTTTCGCTTTGTGTGTGTGTGTGCGCGCGCGTGCGTGCGTGTGTGCTTGACTCAGCCACACGCACTAGGACCATGATTTCCCTTAATGTCCTTGATTGATTTTCCAACCCTTGTCGCCAGAGAGCGACAGGTTAAACGTCTCCAGAGTGAGGGAGCCTTTGACGCAGTTATTTTATCCTTTCCTCCAACAATACAAAGGCGAGTAAGGTGGATTTGGGAGAAAAATAGAAACTTTCTCCTGATTAATTGAATGAGGCTAGTGAGGCTAGTTTCACCTGCTCCCGGCAATATGGAAAACCATATCTATTCAAATCTATGGAAATGACACACGTAGCACAGTCCACTGCACTGCAAATTAGAGTTATCATTAACCAGTGCTGAACAGGTTTTAGGGCCTCACGCTTGAAACATCAGAAATTCAAAACTGACACTAAACTGATTTATCAAATGCACATATTATGCACATTCTGCGCCTGTTATTGTTGCTTATGGGGATATAAAAGTTTGAGGTAGTACAATATTTTTAATAAAGGTTAAAGGTAATCTTGTACGTACTATATTCAGAAAGCCACAGGTGCTAAGTTTGCACTTGTCATCATTACACTTCTGAAATTCGTTTAATATAAATACATTTTTACAAAAACCCTTTCCATATGATAGACAGATGCATCAATACTTGTGTGTAGCCTGAGATCTGACCTGAAGTGTGCGTGCGAGCGCCCAATTCATTGCCTGGCGCAATTCAAATCCATGCAAATGAGTTGTCTTTTAATTTCACAGTCAGATGTGAAACTAATGTCAAACTAGAAATAACACTCAAGCTTGTAAACCCTCTTGTTAATATTCGTCTCTACCGACAGAAGGTTTTAAGCCATAGCACGGTATATTACATATTCACGCAAAACTATTGCCTAGAGGATCAGAAGAGTCGGTTCCATTGCCAGCTCGGTTGTGCAAATAGCCATGTTCCAAACAAAATTGCTGTACATTATAATGTAATCTGCACATGGCTTCAAAAGTTACAACATTTCTTTATATTTCGAAATCACAGATAGTATATTGTAGGCTGTAGTTGATCTATCAATGAATGATACTTAGATTATTTTAATCTGTGTTCTACATGCATTTTTTAAATCTCTTAAAAAAACGATTTCAGCTTTTGTGTATAGGAAAGCTCTCCTGATAATGCTATGGAATGGACAGTTGGACACAAGCCAAGCTGTGAAGAGCTTAAAAGCGCACGCACTTCAAACTTGTGATTCTGCTAATGAAGATTGTTGCTGAAAATACCTATGGTTGAAGATAGCTCTTAGAAGAAACCGACCAACACTTACCTTTATCAAACGTTAATGTTATGTTATGGTCTTGATTTATCCGCGGATGACGTAGGCTTCTCCGATATAAAAAGTGGAGCTTTCGTCGCCTTTCGCGGAGTTGGTACAACAATAGCTTGATTGTGTTTCTCTGTTAGTTTGCGGCTCGCCTCTTTGCTTACCGCGAAGTTCCGATTCCACTTTCCAGCGGAGGTAACAGCTTCAGGTCACTGGAGGATTGGAGCGTCTGTGTGAGCGTGTGCGCACGCTGTTTGAATTTCTCACTCTCTGCGTGTGTCTCTCTGTCGTGAGAAGGGCAGTGCACAGACCGTTTGTGGGGTATGTGCTCAAACAAAAAAGCCCCCCCCCCCAAAAAAAAAAAAAAAAAAAAATAATAATAATAATCCCGCAACCGCGGTCCCAGACTCGTTGAGCAATTATTACAAGAAGAGGGGAAAGCAGCACGATTTGATGAGTAACGTATTTTGCACAACTATTTTGAACTGTAATAAATGCTGCACTTATTAACAATGACCAACACAATTCCAGTCAAAATAGATTGTAAGAAATACTATAGCCTACCATTACTATATCCAACCCAACTCCATCTGTTGCCACTATCATGTAGCCCAGTGTTTTTCAAACTTTTTGAAACACCACCTCCAAAAAGGAGGGGTAGCCGACAAACCTCCGACCCCTGTGCACGCACATGCAAGTGTGCACAAGCGTTCATGGGCGTACAATCGCTGCGCAAATGTTGCCTGTCATTAACGGTAACGCATATTTTCAAAACGCAAGATAGGCTACAGAAATACACTGCGTTTTACACCTGCATTTGGAGCTGAAAGTCATTAATGTTAGCTGCCAATATCAACTAGGGATATATCATGTCACTTCTCTGGAGTCCAGAGCAAGCAAAACCATACGACATACTTGTAGCAGGATGGAAAAGCATGATCTGCCTGCACCGGTCCATTACTTTGGAGGGCAGCATGCCTGCACAGTGCTCGTTGCCAGCCCTGTTATTCCTCACAAATACAGTAAAAACGTCACCAGAATACATCTTCATCCCATAATATTGAAGGCAGTGCAATGTTATAGCTGCTTACCTTTAGACATACAATACCAGGCAAAAGTTTGGACACACCTACTCATTCAAGGGTTTTTCTTTATTTAAAAAATTTTTTACATTGTAGAATAAAATGGATGACATCAAAACTATGAACTAACACATATGGAATCATGTACTAACTAAAAAAGTGTTAAACAAATCAAAATGCATTTTATATTTGAGATTCTTCAAAGTAACCACCCTTTGCCTTGATGACAGCTTTGCAGTATACAGATAGCCCTATTTGGTAAAAGACCAAGTCCATATTATGGCAAGAACACCTCAAATAAGCAAAGAGAAATGACAGTCCATCATTACTTTAAGACATGAAGGTCAGTCAATTCGGAAAATGTAAAGAACTTTGAAAGTTTCTTCAAGTGCAGTCGCAAAAACCATCAAGCGCTATGATGAAACTGGCTCTCATGAGGACCACCACAGGAATGGATGACCCAGAGTTACCTCTGCTGCAGAGGATAAGTTCATTAGAGTTACCAGCCTCAGAAATTGCAGCCCAAATAAATGCTTCACAGAGTTCAAGTAACAGACACATCTCAACATCAACTGTTCAGAGAGGACTGTGTGAAGCAGGCCTTCATGGTCGAATTGCTGCAAAGAAATCACTACTAAAGGACAACAATGAGAAGAAGAGACCTGATTGGGCCAAGAAACACGAGCAATGGACACTAGACCGGTGGAAATTTGTCCTTTGGTCTGGAGTCCAAATTGAGATTTTTGGTTCCAACCGCCATGTCTTTGTGAGACGCGGTGTGGATGAACGGACAATCTCCGCATGTGTAGTTCCCACCGTAAAGCATGGAGGAGGAGGTGTTATAGTGTGGGGGTGCTTTGCTGGTGACACTGTCTGTGATTAATTTACAATTCAAGGCACACTTAACCAGCATGGCTACCACAGCATTCTGCAGAGATATGCCATCCCATCTGGTTTGGGCTTAGTGGGACAGTCATTCGTTTTTCAACTGGACAATGACCCAACACACCTCCAGGCTGTGTAAGGGCTATTTTACCAAGAAGGAAAGTGATGGAGTGCTGCTTCAGATTACCTGGCCTCCACAATCACCCGACCTCAACCCAATTGAGATGGTTTGGAATGAGTCGGACGGCAGAGTGAAGGAAAAGCAGCCAACAAGTGCTAAGCATATGTGGGAACTCCTTCAAGACTGTTGGAAAAGCATTCCAGGTGAAGTTGGATGAGAGAATGCCAAGAGTGTGCAAAGCTGTCATCAAAGCAAAGGGTGGCTGTTTGAACACTTTTTTGGTTACTACGTGATTCCATATGTGTTATTTCATAGTTTTGATGTCTTCACTATTATTCTACAATGTAGAAACTACATACTGTAGTCCTTCATGTTCAATGTCAACAGCAATTTCCAGTGACAAATGTTCAGTCTGAAGCCATTCGGCTATGGGGGTTTCACAGCGCTATAATAATGATACAAGTTATATCACCTTAAAATGGTTTATTTACAACCTCTGGGGTGTAACATGTTGGGCAAAGCGGTATAGGAGAGTCTGACATATAACCCCTAACTTGAGTTCAGTCTTCACCAATGAGAACCAAGAGGGGACTAGCTTCGTCCTTCATGACTGGGAAAGGCCTTGATTCTAGGCCGTAGAAAATCCTACATCCATCTCATTAGATCAGAACAGCATGGATCAACAGTGATTCATATTACTGGTTTGCATCCTAAAAAAAGGATAGTGTGTTTTGCTGCATAACACAGTTATGTTATTTGTCTACCCATATAATAATGATGTGGATCATTGTCAGATTATTTGATAAACAGTGCATTCGGAAAGTATTCAGACCTCTTAACTTTTTTCAATTTTAGTTACATTACAGCCTTACTCTAAAATGGATTAAATAGTTTTTTTCCCCTCTCTGCAGATCCTCTCAAGCTCTGTCAGGTTGGATGGGGAGCGTCGCTGCACAGCTATTTTCAAGTCTCTCCAGAGATGTTAGATCGGATTCAAGTCTGGGCTCTGGCTGGGCCACTCAAGGACATTCAGAGACTTGTCCCGAAGCCACTCCTGCGTTTTCTTGGCTCTGTGCTTTGAGTCGTTTTCCTGTTGGAAGGTGAACTTTCGCCCCAATCTGAGGTCCTGAGCGCTCTGGAGCAGGTTTTCATCAAGGATCTCTCTGTACTTTGCTCGGTTCATCTTTCCCTCGACCCTGACTAGTCTCCCAGTCCCTGCCGCTGAAAAACATCCCCACAGCATGATGCTGCCACCACCATGCTTCACCGTAGGGA